CCTACTTACTCAGATGATGCCATAAAGGAAGAGTTCGCCGCCATCCGTGACCTGCTTAGTAGGAATGGCTATCTAGCCACATGAATGGTACGAAGATTAAGACAAGAATACCAACGGTTCCTAAGAAGCGAATTTTCCTGAGGCTGAAATTTAACAGTGAAATTTGCAGTGACATTATCACACAAAACATAAGAAGAGCCTTGCAAAAAGCACTCCCACACGCTAAATTCTCCCCCATATTCTGCAATCACGGGATTCTGGGTGGAAGAAATGAAAACAAACTGCCTGGTTCTGCTTCTTCTATGTGCACTTATCAGATTAATTACTCTTGTAGAGCTAGTTACGTTAGGCGTATAATGAGGCAAGTCCATCGTCGAATTTCTGAGCACCATGAATAGTGGTTGAACAAGGGACAAATTAGAACAATAAAGAGCTCCATACCTGCACACCTAGTTGACACCAGATATCAAGTAGATGCTAGAAAAGCTTTCAAAACTATTCATCACATTCCAGTTAATTTACCACATTGATTACGCACTCGCTTACTTCACATAGCAGAGGGAATTGCAATCCACGCTTACAAACCTAACCTTTGTATTCAATAGAAGTCTGTTCAACCACTTTTAATATCGTCGCCGTCAGCATGATGTATTACTTTTTACACTTCTTCCCCCTCTTGTTTCTAACAATATTCATTTGTTTTCTAATTATTAAGTAATAATCTATTGTTCATGACTGAACACTCATCAAAAACCACTCCATTTATCTAAGAGTAACCTGCGTCATGTTTCCAATTTTTATTAATCTACTGAGTATTTGCTTCTTAATTTCTAAAACTTATCGTCTTCACGACTTACTTAAAGGCTATAATTATTGTTCACCAACCCTCCACCATTTGACTGGTATGTAGATTGAATTGTAAAACTATATGTTAGTAAAGCACCGAAGAAGAAGACCTAATTGAAAAAGAAATATACTTCATCGCTCAATTTATCAAGGTGAGTCGAGATGATGATCCTCCTAGCCTACGAGCCAGACTGCAGGTTTATTGATAAAATTCAATCAATAGTCAGGACTAGATATGATGAAACTGGGTGCTTCCCATTGACCAGCCAGTGTATATGCATTTGCTATGATTATTCATCATTCTTTCGACATCATCTGCGAATGTATTCGGTTCGGAAATGGGTTCGATTTTGAAAAACATGTTTGACGAAAAATTGACTTTTATAGTGATGAACAGCTGCATGTTATGACTAAAGAAGGTGGAGAGAACCTATTAAAGTACGTATTCTCCGTCTAAATTAAGTTTCACTAATGTGGTTAAAAAAATGTGGAATAAGTTTACAAGAATATAGTGATAGCAGACAGATTCTACGATTCAAGGGAAGTAACACATTCAACAGTGTAGTCGTTCAGAATCTCTTCGACATTCGGCATTCCTTTCGAAATTCAGCTGAAGTATCGGATTTGTTCAAGATAATTTTTGAGTATATGAGATCAAGTTTCCAATGGTTCACTGAGGATATTTCTGTTTGACGTTATTATTATTACTATTTATCCCATGAGTTCCTAGTGGAACATAAGGCTTCACTAGCACAAAGCCATTTCACTCTCTTCCCTATAGTCTTCTCAACATGGCTCCACCACTGCCCACAACCATTCATTTATTCCTCACACAATCTCCTCCATATCACCCTCGACTCGGACTTCCAACTTGTCGTTTCCGATTTGGATTCCTCCCATCAGCGTAGCCTGACCTGATGCATGATGGCCTCAATCGGTATTCTCAGTGTATGCCCAGTTCCATCCATCTCCACTTTCTACTACTGCATATTCCCTGGGTGATAGGTTGCTGGTTGGTTTGCTGCCAGCCAGCCAGCCAGTCAGAGTTCCTTGTTACTCACTCTTTCTGGCCATCTATCTGATCTTCAGTATTGAATGTAGGTGGCAGCTATTGATGAATGTCTGTAGTTCGTTGGAAATGCTTTTCGTAATGCACCGCCAAGTCTCTCAAACATCACATAGAAGCACTGACTCACTTGACTGAGTTAGTGTTGAACATCCGGATCTTGCTCACTCTATATGCTGAGTGCAGTGCAGTGCAGTGCAGTAGATCTCCACACTGATTATTTCAGATTAATGAAGACCTGTCTTTCTGTCTTCCTCATGCTGGCTGGCTGGCTTTGACATCCCCATCCTTGCCACCATCACCTGTAGTTGAAACGATGCTGCCTTGCCTAGGTAGGTGAAGGAGACTACTTCGTTTAGACTTCTCCCGTTGGTGGTGACTGGTGCTTGTTACTGTTGTTGGTTGAGTGTCCTCATCACCCCTGTCTTCTCCACGACCACCTGAAGTGGTGTCTTCGCTGCCTCGTCTCGTCTCGTCTCGCCTTGCATTGCATTGCATTGCCTCTTCTGCCAACTTGTTGGTTGTTGCCTGTAGATCTTCGAGTTTCAGCGACAAGACATTAGACATAGATCATCATCGGCGGCGAAATCCAAATCGCCTTAGGTCTTTTCATCGGTCCAGTCAGCGTATGGCCCTCTTCTCGCACTTCACGGTTTGCTGGATGATCCAGTCCACCACAATGAAGGAGATGATCGGTGATAGTATGCTGCAGCCTTGGCTTACTCCTGTCTAAACTTCAAAGACATCACTGAACTCTCCACTGTGAATCATTCGGCATGTAGCATCATCGTGGGGCATATGGCTGTTGAATGAGGTTGACAGAGGTTTGTGGCATTGAAACCGCAGTGCTGAAGCAGTTGTCAACTTAATTCTTGGTCGACGCTGTTCAAGGCGATTTCAAAGTCGATGAGGTTGTGGTAGAGTTGAGTTGACTGCCATTCCACACTCCGTTCAATGATAATGCGTAGAGTAGCCTTACAATTTGCTCTGCCCATGATTTGTTCTTCCTGAAGCCAGCCAGACTGTTACGTTGGTAATCTTGAATGCAGAGCATGTTTTGCTCTCTCTCTCCCTCCCTCTCTCTCTCCCCCTGCAAGATGATGCAGTTTGACATCTTGATTGAAGCTGACAGGAACAGGAGCATGATTCCACGCCAGTTCTTGCAAACACTCAGGTCACCCTTGTTTGGGAGTTTGACAAAGTGGCCATTCTTCCAATCACTCGACAGGTACCTTTCCTTCCTTCCTTTCTTCCTTCCTTGCAAACCTTCTGCAGTAGTGGTGTGAGCATGTCCACTGTTGTCTCCGCGTCTGTTTTCAGTGCTTCTTCAGGAGTTCCATTTGGTCCTACTGCTTTCCTGGACTTCAGTTACTTTATGGCGTTCAAGACTTGACTTCTGCTTTTGTCGGAGGGCTTGTGTTCACTGATAGTTTTGTGTCTGGGCTGTCGGTGGTATTTCTTGACGAGTTGTAGGTGGTGGTGGTGGTGGTGATGTTGATGGATTTAAGAGTGTTTAGAAGTGGTCAGTCCATTGTTTCCTTTCTTTCTCCTATTTGGTAACTGAATTGCTTCCATTCTCCGGGCGTAATGTCTGGCAATCCTCTTATTCTTAGCTCTTACTGTCATTTAGTCGTATCGTTTTTATGATATCCTGTTTTTAGATTGATTTTGGTTCCTAATCAATTTAAGACATTTCACTTTTGATATTAATTCATTACTATCTCGGTTACTCTTCGATGAGCTTCGACTGCCTAATACATATAATCCTAGTACTGGTATGTTGTTTCGCCTTCCTTGAAACTGTCAACAAAAATTTTCACTACAACGTATAAATTTAAGCCACACATAGAAATTTCTTCCTGTGGAAAAAGTAATAAACTGATTATTTACTGTACAGTAAAATTATCTTATCCTGAGCATAGACCGAATTCTGTCGATTATCTTTGAATAGGATCACCAAGCTAGACGACTCACCATCACACTTGATTGATGGCAGGTGGTTGAAACCTACCGGCAGAAAACGCTAAATGCAGCTCATGCTTATTGGTGCTCATCAGCTAGGTAAATCTAGGTAGCTGGAAGGAACTCATTCCTCCTCCCTCTAATTATTTAGTCTCAATTTAAAATACACTGTGATGGTGACCCTCCTAGCCAGATGACTACACTGCAAACAACTTAATCAGCACTTAGGAATGGAAAACATAAAATCAGTTGCTCCTGACCCAGTCAACGAGCAAAGAGTAAGTTTAAGTACCACGGATTATAGTAAAATAATCAAAGTTTCCTTTTGATTCCATTTCAATCAAATTAAGGAAATCATAGTTAGGGCAGGATTCAAACGGACTGACATCACTAGGAGAACCATTGGAAACCTTGAAGAACTGCACACCTGTTTCGTTCCAGTATAGAACTCTACAGGAGTATGCACTCACAACTCGGCTTGCACCCAAACTCAGAACATTCAGGTTTCACGGCGAACGCGTTAACCACTCAAACACTGGGTTGGAGTTCAATGGTCTTTAATTTCTCACTTCTGCTGATTTACTCTACAGTGTGACTATTAACAAAGGTCTTCACTGGCCTCGGCTTCACTTCTAACTGGTTGACCCCACAGGTCATGGCTTCTCATTATAACTTTGAAGCCAATATGGACTTTATGTTTAAAGCAACATTCATTACGGTCTGACGTATCATATTTAAGCTATTTTAATTAAGTCTCATGGATGAATATCTTTTCATGAATTTGAGAAGATCAAGAACAACAGTTAGTTCAGAATAAAACGGTATCACCTCATTCTGATGGTATCTTGTCAGCTGCGTACAATCTAGAAATCAATGGAAGACAATAGACGAACAGAAGTAATCACAGCATTGTATTGTAGCATAATGACAAACCCTAGGAAGGTTAAGAAAAATTGTAGCAAACTGTCACAAGTAAGCCAATATGGTAAGGGACTTAATTAACAATATCATATGAACCATTCTATGATGGAATTATGGTTTTCCCATTCCTATATGAAACATTTATTTTACTTGATCCCAAAGTAAGGGTTCTGTATATTTTTGTCTATCTTTTTATTTATTTTAGCTTCCGCCATCAAATGTCGAACGTGCTTACCTTGCGAAGAAAATTATAAAAAGTTATTCAAAATAAGAAAAGATGAAATTGTGGATGATTGTGGAGTTTGCATAGTAAGTTGGTCAAGTTAGACTTTTTATCAGGTGTACATAAAATTCTATCCACCATTCATTTGGACTAGTTAGGAATTTTTAATTGCTAAAATAATTAAAGATATGTAAAGTGGTTGTTGGTAGGAAGTGTATGATTTCAGAGTAGTTTTATTATCATATCAAATCAGTTGGGGAATTATTGAAAACTTAGGTGAACTAGACAATTTTTCCAACCTACTGTTTTTTTAGTTCCTCAGCGGAGCACATCAACGACCCTGAGATAAACAGCGTTCAGGGTTTTCAAGTCTTTTGATCACAAAGTCACCATTCAGTCAATGGGTAGGCTACCAACAGACCAGTATCATCTTTTCGATATTTAACGCTTCTAGATTTCTAGTAGTTCTCTAACAGATTTCAATTCATGATGAAAACTAATTTAGAATTACGAATCTACTGATTGGTAAAGCTAACCGACTGATTTCGATTGGAACTCCAGGTGTACCCCTTAAATCAAGTATTATCCTATGACTCATTTAGGAACATAATGTAATCTTGTCGATTCATAGGGGTGGTCTGAACCATTCAACTGTAAATTTTCTGACTTCAAAACCAAGTGATGGTATTAGACGAATAAGTTATAGATAGTTGGTGCGAGTTTTACATTACTGTAGTTAATAAACGATGGTCCGTTTTTCACTAGTTCATCAACAGTTCATATCAAGAACAATTTACCTAAAACTTCCAATGAGGTTCGCGTCTATTAATCGGTAAATCACCCAAATTTTGAGTAACTGCCTTTTAAAACAATTTGATTCCATTGGCAGTAATGAAGGATGAAGAATGTTCAGAAATTAGCGGGGTAATATGCACTCTCAACTGTCTGAGGGTATTTCTTATCCATTCAACATTTCCATTTATCCTCATTTATCTGTATTCAGGAACCTTTAGAGGGTAAGTGGCTGTCCTGAGTATAAAGAAATCATACTTCAGTTTCAGTTGATTTGAGCCACTGGATTTCAAAATAGGATGGGATGTTCACACCTGATCTAGTGCGTCAAGATGTAAATTTTTAAAACGACGCTGCAAGTGAATCACTGATGAATGTGAAAGTCAACTCAGTAGTTCAAGGAATTAACACTGAATCTGATTCTTACCCATTCTTCGTAAGAAATGAAGAATAAAATTTCATTGATTTCTACATAATTTGAAATAACTGTACGACTAAAGAGCTAATAACTGTTATCTTTTCCCTTTTACAGACAGCCTATTCAACATATTTAGGTTATGAAATGGAAGGTCGAGGTTGTCTACCAAAATGTCCAACTGGAGATAAACAAAATGAAGTAACTCCAGGGCTTATGAGTAGATTCGACTGTTGCTACCATGATTTGTGCAATAAAACAAACAAGTTATTTGTGAAATTCAAAGTGTTATCAATAGCGTGGCTTCTGGTCACTTTATTCAGTACTATAATCAAATTCATTTCACGCTAAATATGAGTATACACCAACACCCTTTTTGTTCCTAAGTGCATTTCCTAATATAATTTTTAGTGCTAACTTTAGCTACTTACAAGTAGCACAAAGCATGTCACTTAAATATTTTGCTATTCATTGGCTAGTTGACAGGCTTCTGAATAAATAGAACATTAAGAAAGCTAGTTACTCGACACTGATTTAATCCTCTTAATAAGAAGCGAACTGCATCAAAACGATAGTTTGGAATTATCTATTGCAAACTCATATTCAACAATATTCATAAAGTAAAGGATATGCTTGTAAAAATATCTTCGTATATGGAATTTACTTAGCGAATACCCTAATTACTTAATTCTCCAACCAGTACTTATGACGCAGTAGCTCTGTATTTAAATGTACAGCCAAACGTTTGGGCTACTTGAACCTTCAACATTCACTTGATTTCTTATCAATCCTTTCACCTCTACACAAATCTACTCCGTACTACAATGACTGAGCAAATCGATTATGTATAGCTTTTTTCCGAAAATCTACATTTAAAAATTTTTATTTTGATAATCCTTTTTGAAATCTGTTTTGTGCTTATAAATCCTTGATGTAAATAAATGTTAGTTTCATAGCTCTGTTTTTACTTCACACTGATATAGCATTTCATCTATTCATTTATTATGTATTACTTTCAAGATAAGTGAATAACCTGCGTCATGCATTACAGCCTACACAAATGAAGTTTCTATTGCACTGACACGTTGAACGATCCAGTTTCTTAACAAAGAAATAAACAATATGAGAGAAAGATGAGAAATTCAACTTCATGACGATCAAATTATCTCTACCTGTGTAAGGGAGTGTTTACGAAGTCAGAGATTCTGTTGATAGTTTATGGATAAGAATTGGTTATAAATAGAATATCATCATAAATTCCAAAAGTGAATGATTTTTACATGCTCTGGATGAAATCACCTGCATGATCTAGAATTACCCAGAAGTGGAGGTAAACGTGCAACTAATCAGAATCGAATTCTCTTAAATTGGTAAAAACCTATATGTACCCTTATAAGAGATAAACGGAAAAAAAGAAAATCACGAAGTTTCATAGTTATATCAGTAACTCAATAAATAAGAGGTAATATTGAGATAAACAAAGAAATTAGAGCTAAAATTCTAAAGACAGCAAACGATAATATGCCGGTTAACTTTGCAGATGAAGCTGAACTGTCAAAGATTAACAGACCAAACAAGTTAGTTATGTGAGTCATTTCTTCATGGCAATAAAGGTACATTTGGAATCATCTGTCGACTCGTTTCAGAAGATCATCATATAAGATCTTAGAAAGTGAGTGTATCGTCCATGATATCAACTTAAAGTGGACGTCAGTTTATGAAATGGGGATAATTGTAATATGTGGATCATACAACCCATCTGTCCCACATTAGTTTTGTTTGTTCGATAAAACACCCAGCGATACAATACAATTTACTTGATGACGTTTTGATATGATTATGAGCATTAATTTATGCTCAAAATGTCGTTAAGTACATAATACTGTTCTATATCAAGTAAGTGAATCGGATACAAATTACATTCCACCATAATGACCAAGTTTTTCACTTATATTAACAATATGGCTGTATCTAGATAAGATAACACTCGAGAATTCACCCACTAATAAGCCAGACAGCACCTTAGTTAATTAATCAACAGGAAATACTGTAGGACTGGATGATACACAGTCATCTTCAAACTTTACGCAAGTATTTGCGTATTTTTCTCCTTAAGGTCAAATCTCACATCTCATACACTGTCATGAGTCCTGAAGCAGGTGACATTGTCTTAATAGCAGTTTTTCTTGTTCGAATTAACCTGCATGTAACTTGGTTTGGTTTGAATACAAAAGCATCGTTGTCTTATTAGGCTAATTTGCAACACCTGGGAATTAATCCTGTCTACCATACTACCTGATGAATTATAACTATCCTTCAGAAAATATCTCTTAGTAAACGCATATTAGTTTTCAGTATCTCTACCGACTAGAGTTTTCTTATCATCAAGTTTGATATTTGTTCAGTACAAAGATTACTCAGTAAAATATGTGGAAGTTTAAGTATTGATAAACCAATCTCTTATGTAGCGCGTAACTTTTTTCGTGAGAAATATAGATCCTAATGAATATAATTCCCAATAGCTTCAGATTTCTTCGTGAACATTATGAATAGATAATCCTGACTAAACTTTTTAATTGAATAGTTTATTCCATTTTTATCATCAGGTACATTATATCATACATAGTACAAGAAGTCGTTTTATGCATTTCAGGCGGTGGTTTCTTCCATTCCAAGTCTGAGACAAATATGTCATAGGAAGTTCATCTCACAGTACAATCTGTCATTGAACAATCTAGGTATTGATAATAATATTGAACAGTGGCAAGCAGCGCGATCCGGGACATCTGGTTCGTTCTATATGGGACTCGTCAGCTAGATGCACCTACACTCTAGTAAGTGATGTGTTTCTTAATAAGGCTAGAATTCAAAAGAGAATAATTGCAAGGTATTACTACAAAAATATACCCGTCACACAAGAAATGCCTGTTACAACTCAGTGGTTCTGGATTCAAGTCTGAGGTGCAGGCGTGCAGCTGATGACTTCCTAATATTACGAAACCCACGTTCTACACTCCGTTGCTAGCCATTATTTATCGTTTGTATGAAAATAAAATCACCGGCTGTGCTGAGGCATCCACTCAGAAGCTCATATAGTAACACAGGCCAATTACTTCGGTCCAAACCAATCAACAACAAAAATAATAAATTCAATTATCGCATAGTTTGTCGATCAAGGACACACACAGGAATTACAGTTTTACTGCTCTGTACATACATGAAGGATGTAAATCTAGTGCTTTGAAAACACTATACACTTCACCATCAGTCACTTTTCTTTCTCCTTTGATTTTTTTAACATTACTGTTTTGCTCTCACTCGGATCTTTGCCTCTAAACTTGAGTGAACCATAAGAGATTTATGCGACTTTCTGAGCATACTCATATCTCTTCACTACAGTGACTCTAACACGTTTGCTTTAGCTGAGTGATGCGATTATCATTTAATTTTAATAAGATCTCATTACAAATAAGCTGATTTACTACGGTAAATAGTAGTAAAACATTATTAGCATTTTCAAGTACAATTTATCGTCAATAACCTTATTAGAGTAATAATGCAGCTTTATGGTTTGTCTATACAGTCTACTTGCTGTTCATTCTTTGATTTTAATAGTAATGGAATTTGCTATATCTTAAAGATTAGTTTTCGATCATTTCTAAAGCATAGGTTAAGAGTTGATTTAATGAACAGAGATTGAGTAATCGTCCTAACTCTCGACAGAACTACGTTAGTTTTTAAAACTGTTACTTTATCAGTCAGCAAGAAACACTCTACCTAGGTTTGGTGCTTTTCCTAACTCATCATCAAGACTTATCCAAAACCATGAGGCAACCAATGTCTCCTCAGGGACTCGGAGGTCGTTTCATCCAGTGATACAGCTATAGAAGCTACAGATGAGCTGTATTTTTGATTGTGTGCATACACATAGATGGCTAATTCTTAATAGTAATAACAATAATAATAATTCACTTTATTCCAAACAATTGGTGGTACAATTTTGAATTCTCAGAGTATTTTTTCATTGGTCTCAGTTTAGAGACCGTTGCAGAAATTACACTGCAAAGAACAGATACTACACATGATCTTAGCTCAGAGAGCCGAGGAGCTGTAGATCAATTATCCTGATGAGATCTATCATTCTATATTTAACCAAGTCTTTACTGTCTAATATCCTGACTGACCTTGATCAAGTTTTTTGACCTCACAACTTTCATATGGTGTTTATTACATTGAGTTAGTAAATAAAAGAATCCCGAAACCAATAAAGTTTGCGTCAAAGCGAATTTGTAAGTGTTAAATATCACTCTAATCTCAAACTTATTAAAATCCCTACTTAGGTTTCAAGATATTCTTACATTATATAGTGAAACTGTAGAAGCCTTTGATTATCTAATGCAAACGCCACTAATTTTCCTTTTCACATACGAGTACTTGTGAATTTTTGAATACATTTTCAAAGACATCTGTTGCGTAGTAGGTTTTCTCTCATGCGTTTCACCTAATTTTGACTTTCGGATTTACCAGTTAGAATTTCTATTCAACTAATTAAGCATTTGCCAAATCTGTCTTAACTGATATGGAATGGAATAATCTACAGCGTGGATATTTTGAATGTGTTTTAACAAACAGTAGTATCTAAACCACCACCTTGTCTTCGTTTTATTTTCCAATATAATGTATCCAATTCCTTTTTATTTTCTAACTCCAAGTGAATGGGATAGCACTTATCATTCAGTTTATTTATATGCGTGAAGAAAATTTAGATATTTTCCAATTTCAACACCTTAAATATACCATACACATAAGGTCCCCAGTTCAAACAACCCATCTACCACTAGTACTGAAGATATTAGTGACCTCACGGTTACCATTTCCATTTGTTTATATATTTCATCTCTTGATTTGAAAACCGTAGAGGTTAAATATAACTAAGCTCCTTACAAGGCTTTTGCATTTGGTACCCAAGTGCTATAAATGAGTTCAAGATAATTGTACTTTCACAGATATTAATTGCCACATTGATGTACGAGGTATGTTATGTTTAGGACACAAACCAATAGATTCCAACCTATAATTCTTAGAATAATGTGTGGCGCAAAGTTTATAACTACACCAAGCTGACTAATCAAAACGAAGGATAAATAACATTGCCAATGAGTCAAAAGCACATAAAGAATATCACTCAGTAATATCCCAGTTTTACTCAAGTGGTAACGTTTCGTTGTTAAAATTGCCTCTGATCTGATTCGACGAGTCCGATGATGCAAATAACTTTAAAACTTACAAGTCAATTAATTATTCATATATGAAAGTTAAACGTTGTGAGACATATTGAAATTTGAACAGAT